AACAACAAATTGTGCTGGGCTGTGGGTGATCTTGGAACCTCCAATCTAGTCCCCATCCTGTCTGCCAAGGGCAGATGCCATGTAACAAGTCAGCTGTCACTTAGGACCTCAGTCTGTACCATACATGGGGCCAGCCCCTTCCTGGTGAAGCAGTATCTAAGGTGGCATCTTGCAGGGGCAGGAGGTAGATCGGGGCAGAGGGTACAGCACCAGCAGAGGCCTGGGGTCTCTGGGGTAAGTGGTGTTGGCAGGGCTGGGCACGTGTAGGTCCCAGACTTAACATTCAGGGCTCTTGGGAGTCTGTAACAGGTTGGGGTGAGGGGGCTGGTTCCTGACCCTGAGGTCTGGGGGTCTAGAATGGGCTGGTGCTGTAGTCCCCTTGGTCCATCCCTGATGGCTACTCTCTGCAGCGCTACCTGGTGCCCCAAGCCCGTGCCCTGTGTGGCCTGGATGAAAGCAAGGCCAAGCTGTCATCGGATGTCCTGACACTCCTCATCAAGCAGTACTGTCGGGAGAGTGGTGTCCGCAACCTGCAGAAGCAGGTGGAGAAGGTGTGAGCAGGCCCCGACCCCACACATGCCCCCTTTGCCAGCCCGACACCCATCTCACTGCCTCCCTGCCTGCCTAGGTGTTACGGAAGTCAGCATACAAGATCGTCAGTGGTGAGGCTGAGTCTGTGGAGGTGACGCCTGAAAACCTGCAGGATTTTGTGGGAAAGCCAATCTTCACAGTGGAGCGCATGTATGATGTGACACCACCTGGTGTGGTCATGGGGCTGGCCTGGACAGCCATGGGTGAGTGGGCCTCCCCTGGGAGGCTGTGTGGTAGGTAGGGGGTTCTTCATGTCCCTTGGGTTGTCGCAGAGAGGACTCAAAGGTGTTCTAGTTCTATTCAAGAATAAGCATATCCCACCTTCCATCTCTGGACACTGTGGTAGGGGTCAGAAGTATGTGGACCCTGAGGAAAAGGATATGACCACACAGGCTAGTAGCACGCAGGGAACTTTATTTGGGTGATACTTTGATAGGTTTACACACGGGGAATGAGGAGTCCTTGATGTGAGACCATCACCCTGGTGGTGGGGGCTTGAGAGGAGCAAAAAGGGAGGGGCTTAAGAGGGGCCCCAAGGGCCAGAGACCCCCAGCGTTCATGGGCTCCACACCTCATTTCTCTAGGAGGCTCCACGTTGTTTGTGGAGACATCCCCAAGGCGGCCACAGGACAAAGACCCCAAAGGTGACAAGGATGGCAGCTTGGAGGTGACTGGCCAGCTGGGTGAGGTGATGAAGGAAAGTGCCCGCATTGCCTACACCTTTGCCAGGGCCTTTCTGATGCAGCACGACCCCTCCAATGATTACCTGGTGACCTCACACATCCACCTCCATGTACCTGAGGTACTACCACCCCCTCCCCATACCCACCTGCTGTCCTGGGGTGGCAACACATGTTCACCTACCTCTCCCTTCCAGGGCGCCACCCCCAAGGATGGCCCTAGTGCTGGATGCACCATCGTCACAGCCCTGCTGTCACTGGCCATGGATCGACCTGTCCGGCAGAACCTGGCCATGACTGGTGAGGTCTCCCTCACAGGCAAAATCCTACCTGTTGGTGGCATCAAGGAGAAAACCATCGCAGTGAGTGGCTTGTCCTTGTGCCATCACATGGCAGGAAGTGGCTGGTATCACCATCATTGTTTAGTACCCACAGATAGGCAGAAGGGAAATAACTGTTCTACAAATGAGGAAAACAAGGCCTAGAGTTACATCATCTAGAACTCCCCCCACCAGTTCTCAAACTTTTCAAGACTTTGGAGGATGTTCTAGAACTTTCCCACAGACCATCTCCATCTGGACCCTAGGGTCCTTGAAGGCAGGAGTGGAGGTCCCCTGCTCAGCCTAGCACCCAGCATAACCCATGGTACAGAACAAGAGGGGGAAGATGTGGGCATTGCTAGTGGGTCAAGAGTTCAAGTCTGTTCCCAGGCCTGTAGCAAGTTAAGAGGGCTGACCTTGGGTGGTGCCTGTGGCCTAGTGAGTAGGGCACCAGCCCCATATACGGAAGGTGGTGGGTTCAAACTCAGCCCCGGCCCAACTGCAACAAGAAAATAGCCAGGCGTTGTGGCGGGTACCTATAGTCCCAGCTACTCGGGAAGTTGAGGCAAGAGAATCACCTAAGCCGAAGAGCTGAAGGTTGCTTGTGAAATCTGATGCCACGGCACTCTACCAAGGGTGACAAAGTAAGACTCTGTCTCTAAAAAGAGAGCTGACCTTCCAGCCCAGTCCTATTGTCCTTTAGTCAGTCCTTCCTCCCAACCCAGCTCTGCCTTTCCCTCAGATAATAGCAGAGCAAGAGCCATGTTCCAATAGTGCATGGTGACAGTTGGGAACTGCTAGCTGTCTTAAGGGACAGGGCCCAGGAGAGGGAATACAACATTTTAGGCACTGGGTAGGAACACCTGCTGTTTGGACAAGATCTACATATTTTAAGGATTAGGGTGGTGGGTTGGACAGGACATGTTTTGTCCAAAGGAGGTGGGAGCCATGGAGGGCTGTGGACAGAGAGGAGACAGGCCCTACTGCCTACCACATGGGCCTTAGTCTGGGAAAAGTCTCACATTTTTTAGTATTAGATGTTCAGATAAATGTAAAGCAGTGGATGTTATGACTAATCCAGAAACTCTACTGTGTATCTAGACACTAGCCCAGGGTCTTGCCTGGTATCCAGGTGTCACCTAGACCCCTAGGGCCCTGTGCTCTCTGGACTAAGACTGACTCAAGACATTTCTTCCCTCCCAGGCCAAACGTGCTGGGGTGACATGCATTGTACTGCCAGCTGAGAATAAGAAGGACTTCTACGATCTGGCAGCTTTCATCACCGAGGGCCTGGAGGTGCACTTTGTGGAGCACTACCGCAGTATCTTTGACATCGCCTTCCCTGAGGAGGAGGCTGAGGCCCTGGCTGTGGAGCGATGATGACTAGCTGGCCCAGCCTGAGATGTACAGTGCACAGAAGGGAGGGGTGCCTAGGCCTGGCAAATGAGCCACCAGAGGCTCAACCAAGTGGCTTGGATTTAGCCAAGGGACCTCGATTATGGGTTAATCAGAGTCTGATACCTATGAAATACTTAATTATGATTAAATAATTTTCAGTACTGTGTGTTCCTGTGCCTACTGCCCCATGCCTCAACTGTCAGGCACAGCACTATCCTGGCCCAGGCTATGGGATCAACAAACAGATGAGACAGAGCCCCCTCCCAGTGCCAGGGCAGCAGCAGAACTAGAGTCCAGTTTACCTATAAAGGTTTTATTGTGCACAAGAGAAGGGGCTTTCAGTCCTTCTTGGCAGCTGCTTTCCTCATGGCCGCCAGGACGTTGCTCAGCTCTTCCCGCTTCCTCTTAGCACGGATGTGTGTCCCCACCTGCCAGGCAAGGAAGGCCATCAGCCTGCACCCTGGTCCCAACCTGCCCCCCTACCACCTGCAGCCTACTTACTCTTTTCTTTTTTTTTGAGAGAGAGCCTCAAGCTGTCCCCCTGGGTAGAGTGCCGTGGCATTACAGCTCACAGCAACCTCCAACTCCTGGGCTCAAGCGAGTCTCCTGCCTCAGCCTCCCAAGTAGCTGGGACCACAGGTGCCCGCCAAAACGCCCAGCTATTTTTTGGTTGCAGCTGTCGTCGTTTGGCGGGCCCAGGCTGGGGATTCGAACCCGCCACCTTAGGTGTATGTGGCTGGAGCCTTAGCCGGTTGAGTTCGAGCCTACTTACTCTTTTCTTGATGAACTTGAGGGCCCGTTTGTCCTTGGAGACCTTGAGCAGCTCCATGGCCCGCCGCTCATATGGGGCAAAACCACACACCTCTCGGATCATGTCCCGCACGAACTTCGTGTGTTTGGTGAGACGCTAAGGCGCAAAGCAAAGGCGTTAGAGCTGGAGGCTGAGGCCAGCCCGATCAGGGCTGTATCTGGGCCCTCAATCAACTTCATGCGTTGCCCAGTTGCCCTGGCTACATGCCTCCCGTGTTTGTGAGAACGCAGAACAAAAAACAGAACTTGACGGGCGCGGTGGCTCAGGCCTGTAATCCCAGCACTGTGGGAGGTTGAGGAGGGAGAATCACTGGAGCTCAGAAGTTCGAGACTCGCCTGAGCGAAAGTGAGACCCCGACTCATGAAAAAAATGGAAAAACCCAGCCAGGCGCCGCAGCGAGCGTCTGTAATACCAGCAGCTTCCGGAGGCTGAGGCAGCGGGATGCCCACAAGCCAGGAGTCTGAGGTTGCAGTGAACTACCAAGCCGCTGCACTCTGCTCAGGAGCACAGGGTGGGACTGTCTCGACCAAAAAAAACAAACAAACAATCAGAACTTTTCACCGTGACTGCGGGTGCCGACGAAGAGCAAATCCTCCTTCGTGTCCTGGTGTTAACATCCCCAGGAAACTCCTGCCCTTTCCACTGGTTGTTCCCTGCTCCTGGGATCCCCTCACCCCGGGCACAGGTTAAACACAGATGGAATCGCGGCTGCCTCCTGAATATAGGGGCTCACACACCCTAACACTCAAGGCCTCATCTTTGCCCTCCCCCTTCCAACCTCGGCCTGGCTTCAGTTCTACTGGGGACCTCTTGCACGTGGGTCAAAACTTCTAACTCACTCGCACACGCCGCTCAAGTTGGTCCCTCGGTCCCACGGATTCATACAGTGTCCGAGATCACGCCATTGGCCTAGTAAGCCCGTCTCCTACCCCGCTTCCTTCAACTCCGAAGACCCAGAATTCCCCCCCTGGGAACTCCAGGCAGTCGTCGACCTTGACGGCACTCACCCCGCGGCGGCGGCTGTGCCTCGGTTTGCTCACGTTCTTTGTCACCTTGTGGCCCTTGTTGAGACCCACGGCCATGGGGTAGCGCAGAGCCATGGCTGCGACAGCAGCTGAGGAAAAAAAGAAATGAGTCTGGCGCGGTTCCCTAAGCTCGGAACCCCACGCCTCGGCTCCTTCGGCCTCATCAGACAAACCCAGCCATCCTCCAACTTGCACAGCAAGCTCAGGAACCCAGATGGCAGTGGATTCCGACCCCGAGCGAACATACCTGGAAACTCCAATGGCTGCCGAGGCGGAAGGGCCGATACCGCACGGAACCTTGGGATATCTATCCAGCAAGGGACGTGCAGGCCGGGGAGGCAAGGACGTGCACGCGCGCCTCCTGGTTGCTGGAGGAGTCTCTGCAGTCACCCTGAACATGCGCAACCAGGCTCCATGAGCATGCGCGTTTACTTCAGGGTCCCTGGCCAGGAGTCGAACCCGGTGGGCGTGGCTGTGGCTACGTGACTCCCTCTACCAACGGGTACATAGCTGGCATCCCACCTCCAACTTTTGCTGGCTGACCCTGCTCTAGTGACTTCACCTCCGAGAATCTCAATTCCTCCATCTGTAGAGTGAGGATAATAACACCAAATCGTATGAACAAGATATAACCGTGCCTGGCACAAAATAAAACATTAACAAGGGTATTGGTTTCATTACATACAGCTCTGGCCAGGTCTGAGCAAAGCAATGTGTAAATAGTGCTCCCTGGTAGCATTTGATCTAATTTTTGGTGGTGCAGGTGGGGATAGTGCACAAAGAAACTTTGAATCAGGAGGTGGAAACGAAAGATTGTTTTTTCTTTTTGACTCCTTATCTCTGGGGGACAGTTATAGTTTGGGACTGGTCTTTTTTTTTTTTTTTTTTTTTGGCCAGGGCTGGGTTTGAACCCACCACCTTCAGCATACGGGGCCGGTGCCCTACCCTTTTGAGCCACAGGCGCCACCCTAGGAATGGTCTTGATACAGGACAAGTGGCATCCCAGCCAGCTGGTGGAGCTGGGGAGCGTGGACCAGCTGCCTCTGCCTTGGTGATGTTGGTGCAGTGGCAGCAAGCAACAGAACCAGCAGGCTGGAGGGTGGGCTGGAGGGCCCCATTTCCTAAGCCTAGGAATGAAAGGGATTGTAGCCATTCATTTGCGACCCAGCTGTGACCCAGACATGTCCCAGACAGATGTCCCAGACAAGCTAAATGTAACTACCGAGGGCCGGGCCAACCGTGTGACTACCCGGACATGTCCCAGCCATGATGTCCCAGACAAGCTAAATGTAACTACCGAGGGCAGGGCCAACCATGTAACTATCAGACATGACCCCCAGACATATCCCAGATGTGATGTCCCAGACAAGCTAAATGTAACTACCAAGCCCAGACAAGTGCCAGGGCTGAGGAGGCCACTAAATGTAACTACGGAGGACCAAATGTGTAACTACCTAACCCAGCTAACTATCAAGGGCCCCATGCCACTATATGTACCTCTAGACAAAGAGCCTACAGACAGACAGAAAGAGAACACTTTTCTCTCCTGACTCCAGTTTTCTCTCTGCCAGGAGCTCTGGCACTTCTGTATTCTTTTCTGTAAATAAATCCTGTCTTACCACTGATCTGTGGTCCGCGGATTCATTCTTCGAATCACTAAGACCAAGAACCTATTGAAGAGCGAAATTCCAGTATCATATTTGGGGGCTCGCATCCGGGATTGAAGATCTGTGGTAAGCAATAGGCCACTTACCTCTATCCTGCTTTTCTCTATAGTTGTTGTAATGGAGACTAATAATTTTGATGCCCATCAGCTAGTAAATAGTGTGGCTGCTAACCTCCAGGTCACAGGCAAGAGGCTGTTGGGGAACAAACTTTGTAATTCCCTTTGGCTCCAGAAAAGAGTCGAAGGGAATGTTAGAAGACTTGAAACCGTTCTGTAGTTACCCCTTTTCTCTGGTTGAGAGCCGAGCAAAGAGATAGCACCCAGAGGCCGTGGGGTACCCAGCAATGGTTCTGACCCCAGGACATGGGAGGGCCTTCTTTTTTTTTGAGACAGAGCCTCAAACTGTCCCCCTGGGTAGAGTGCCGTGGCATCACAGCTCACAGCAACCTCCAACTCCTGGGCTCAAGTGAGTCTCCTGCCTCTGCCTCCCAAGTAGCTGGGACCACAGGCGCCCGCCACAAGGCCCGGCTATTTTTTGGTTGCAGCTGTCATTGTTGTTTGGCGGGACTGGGCTGGATTCGAACCCGCCACCTTAGGTGTATGTGGCTGGCACCTTAGCCACTTGAGCCACAGGCACTGAGCCAGAGGGCCTTCTGAAAATTGTGCTTTCCCAGCGTTTATAATTCTCTCTTTTCTTTCATGGTCCCAAACTTTTTTGATTTATCTCTAGAATCTATAGACATCTTCTGCTTCTTTCTCTCTCCTTGTAGTTTACATGCTTGTCTGAATGTTGGTAAAGGATTGCTTTATCTAGTTAAGTTTGTACGGGCTCATTCTGGTATTTTTTGGATGTTTTAAGTGTGCCTCAAATGTTGTAGGTGTGTCGTAAGGTCTTTTTTATTGTCTTTCATTGCAAAATTAAAGTCAATTGGCATTTTCATGTGTCTGAGGAAAAAAAAATGGTTAAACCATGTTAACTACAAGTTACTCCAAACAAAGGGCAAAAAGACTCCCCTACATGGCTTCTCTGGGCAACTAGAGGCCTGTAAAGGGAAGCTACTCCCCAAAGCAAGAATGGCCCTAAACCCTTAGCTACAGTTCAGTCTCTTAAAAATGAAGAAAGGCAATGAAGATGACCTTGGGTATTTGATTTCTTCTGGTTTATTAGTGTATGTAAATGTGAATGTTTAAAATACTTCCAGGTTTAAGACTTCAACTAATTGTAACTAATTGTGATCCAAAAGTTTCAAAGTGTCTCTCAATTCTGGTTTGTCACTAAGTAATTATCGTTGCCTGGCTAACTTTTGGGAAAGAAAAGGGAGGTAGGAAAACAAGCATTTAAGATCTGCTATTTTCCTTTGTTACTGGGAATTTAAAAGAAGTTTGTAAAGATTATATAGAGTTAAATGTGCAAGCACCACACAGCTATTTTCTCCAGAATGGGGCTCATCCCCACTTTGATTGATACTCATGGAGCCGGGGTGGGGGGGGGCCAGAAAGGGGAAGAATATGCATCAGGTGGGACCAGGCTCCCTGATACCTGATTTCTCGGACTGTGCTGCTGGCAGGTTATAAGCACAGAAGAGCCAGCGGGTACTAAGCCACTGGTAAGAGTGGCTAATTCCAGACAAGCACCAGGGCTGAGGAAGCCACTATCCTCAGGGCTTCTTCCCCAAGCATTGGAAGGACGCTTCCTTTTGTTTGGCAGGATTTTTTTTTTTTTTTTTTTTTGTGATGGAGCCTCAAGCTATCCCCCTGGGTAGAGTGCCATGGCATCACGCTCACAGCAACCTCCAACTCCTGGGCTCAAGCGAGTCTCCTGCCTCAGCCTCCCAAGTAGCTGGGACCACAGGCGCCCGCCACAACGCCTGGCCATTTTTTGGTTGCAGCCATCACTGTTGTTTGGCAGGCCCGGGCTGGGGATTTGAACCCGCCACCTTAGGTGTATGTGGCTGGCGCCTTAGCTGCTTGAGCCACAGGCGCCGAGCCTTTTGTTTGTTTGTTTGTTTGTTTGTTTGGCAGAATTCATCTTGGGTTGGTCAGAGGATGCTTTGACATCCCAGGAATACAGGGTGGAATTAAGACGCTGGATGGGTAACAATGTTACCCATCTGTGGAATCAACAAGATGTTCTTTCCACAGATGGGTAACATTCTTTTGCCAAGAGAACTGTCATCAGGTGGGACCAGGCTCCTGGATACCTGATTATTTGGCCTGAGCTGCCGGAACACTCTGCTAGGCTGTATTCTAAAGCACTAGGACAGGTTTGATCCCCAGACACTGAAAAAAGAATGTATGGTTTTGGGCAGCACCTGTGGCTCAAAGGAGTAGGGCGCCAGCCCCATATGCTGGAGGTGGTGGGTTTGAACACAGCCCTGGCCAGAAAAAATGAAAAAAAAAAAAGAATGTATGGTTTTCTTCTGCACCCAGGCCTGGCCTCAGTATCAACTCTCCACTGGTGAACAATGGCCTTCAGCGGATACTCTCAATTATGACACCATTTTTCAGTTAGACACTTTTTTTTTTTTTTTTTTTTTGCAGTTTTTGGCTGGGGCTGGGTTAGAACCTGCCACCTTCAGCATATGGGGCCACTGCCCTACTCCTTTGAGCCACAGGCGCTGCCCCTGGTTAAATACTTTTTGTAAAGAAGAAGAAAAGTGGTCTGAAGTGCCCTACGTGCAAGCTTTCTTTTTCCTCAGGGAGAATCCCCAACTGTGTAAAACCTGTCAGATAGATTCAGCTCTCCTGGCTGTAGTAACTTCCCCAGATGGTCAGGAATTCCCAAGGGAGACACTGTCACAACCTAGTTCAAACCCCATATCTACTTCTCCTGCACCTTCCTCTGTGCATTCAGAAAACCCCAGGAGGGAGGCTGTGTGAAGAGTTTTTTCTGGTCCTACTGGGACCCCCAGAAGACAATCATATCCTTCTTTGTGTCCCTTCTCTCTAACCCTGGTCTTTTATCTCCCCAAATCTGTAACTATATAGGGGGTATCTGGAAAGCCGACCACGAGACTGCGGGTGGTAAAAGAGGAAATGTCTAAGTATACACTCCATTTTCTCTAGCAGATTTGAAGCAAATTAAGGTTGATTTAAGACAATTTTCTGATAACCCTGATAAGTACATAATGTTCTCCAAGGGTTAGGACAAAGCTTTGACCTCTCTTGGAGAGATGTAATGTTACTACTAGATCAAACTTTAAATTTTAGTGAAAAAAATGAAATCTTAGATGAAGCTAGGAGGTGGGGTGATTTGTGGTTCATGTCCAATACTGATGGCAGTATGTCTCCTGAAGAAAGGGACAGATACCCCACGGGAAGGCAGGCAGTTCCCTTTGAGGATCCTGAATGGGACCCTGAGAAACAAGGTGACTGGTGGCATAAACATTTTCTTTTTTTTTTTTTTTTTTT